ATTCCTGCAGTTTTGTTTACTGGATGCAGGAAAAGAGTGATGTTTCCAAAGATAATCTCTTCTGGTTACTTTTGAAATTGCTTAAGAAAATTTTAAAATAAATAGAGGAGCTGGTACCAACTGGCTTTTCTTGCTATGTTTTGTGTTGCTTGGACTGCTTCAGAGGCCCCTGAAAATGCCTTGCAGCTGGCCAGGCAACAGGAATGCGCTCATTCTGCAGGCAGTACAGCCCAGCCAGGGGAACGGGGGAGTTCAGCCATCACTGAAACCAGCCTCGGGGACAGGATCCGGTTTGTGCCTTGCTGAGCGTGCCTGCCAGCTTCTGGCCTGCGCGTTGGACGTGGCCCAAACAGTGTAGTAGTGGGGCTGCGAAGCGTACTTGAACATTCTAAAGCCATTGCTAAAACTGCAGATTAAAAAGTTCTGAATTGTATGCAGTTCTGTTTCATACCAAATTCAGTAAAAACATGGACAACGGCAACAGTACAAAGCTGTCGATGACCGTTTTCAACAGCTCTGTCTTAGAGGAACACAGTTTTCAGAGACCTGCGTTAACTGTCTTGCCTGATGGCACAGATTATTGTCAAGCTTCCAGCAACGTGGCTCTTGGGCACATACTTGCGCTTCATTTCCATCTTCTTGTCTTATGACGTGTCTGTGTTACTGGTCTTTATCTTAGTTCAGCCCTGAGCAGTCTCATCTGTCTAGGTAAGAACGAGCATATGTAAAAATGCCATTCCTCATTTCTAGCAGTGGCTTTATTATGAGAAATTAGGATTGAGCTAATTGCTGACCGTTGTGTGGCACACTAGCTGTTGGCTCAGTGAGGAACCTGAGCTTGCATACAACATTTGCAGTACAATCCTAGAGTTCTTTGAACTTGTGGCAAATTCTTCAGAATGTCTTTGTACTTTCTGCATCAAAATTCTACAGTTATCTCCACAGGCTGTACAGAATTTCTTTAGAGTAAAATCCTTATGTAGAAAAATATGATAGTCTGTTATAATTGAAGTAAAACATTTGATTGTCAAGCCAGTATTTTACAAAATACAATAAATGTGCTTGTAAATCTGAGAATTTGGCTTATAAAAACATATATTCTTTTGCATATACAATTCCTTGTCTGAAAAGCCACATTTGTGCAGGAAGATTTTGCCTTGCCGTGTCATGTCATTTCTGACTTTATTGGAGAATTACAAGCATAACAGTCATCAAAACCAAGATATGTAGAGTTGGTTTTACTGCAGCTGAAGCCTGTTCGAGCTCTTGGTAGAGGGGAGTTTTGGGACATGAAGCAGCTCTTGATCTGATAGAGACTTCTGAGAAAGAGAAGTCATGTTTCAAAGCACTGAAGTTACCAGTGTTGTCAGTTATTTCCACTGTCTTTAGCATCGATTTAAATCCTGGTACAGTAGCCTAGGAGCAAACACAGAAGATTTCTTACTTGGTTTGAAACGTTGGGTTCAGCTGTGAAACAAATCATTATCTAATGTGCTTATTTACACTTTCAACATACAGGAAAAGTGTTCTAAACATAACTTTGACAGCATGGAATGAGTTTTTTCATGTTCCAGCAATAAGACTAAACCCCCCAAAACCCCAAGATGAAAACAGAGTATTTGTTTACAACGAGGGTGCACCACATGCCATACAAAAGAGGGAATCCTGCAATTAACATTTAAGCACAAGCCCTTGCCTGGCAGCAGGCAGAGGCTACGCTGCATGGATGTTCCCTGATCCCAGCTACAGACAACCTGGGCAGAGAAGCCATTTTGACCCGAGGAAGTAACGCTGACTGATGGTGGTGTCAGTCCGTTGCTGCCTGGGGCTACGCTGATCCCAGCCTCCACCTCCTCGCCCTCAGGAGCTCTGCGGTTTGTTTCAAACACCTCAAGCTGGTGTCACCGTGGTCCGGATGCTCATCCCCGCTGGCTCCACCATCCAGGTCAGATGAGTGCTTATCTCTAAGGGAGACACTCTGGCGACTATTCTGGGGACTCAAGATCTTACTGTATCAAAAAAAAAAAAGTCCTTTCTGCTGACTTATGTTTTAAGATACTATTATTTTCTTTTAAATCTGCTAAGGAGTCTTTACAGCTCTTGTATATGACTTGAGCAAGGTCAGCTCATTCGTCTGTAAGGATACAGTCTGAGAGTACTCAGGAGCAAAATGCGATTAGAAACAATAATTTAGTAAGGCTGCACACTTACATTGATCACATACGTCCCAGGCAGAAGGAGAAGAAAGTACTCCCCTTGTTCATTTGTTCTGTAGGGGCAGATGTGAGGCCTTCCTTTGGCTTCCACGATGGCATTGGGAATAGGATTCCCATTCTTATCAGTAACTTGACCCTTGACACCTATGAAAAAGGGGGAGGAGAGAAAGAGCACAACCTGTAACTGTGGTGAGCCTCCTTCTCTGGGGAAGTCAGCCTATTTGCTGCTGGATGTACTCAAAGGCTATTTCGGTGATTTCAAGCACATCTAGTATCGCTAGTCACTTCTATCTTACTGAAGGGAATTAAAATAGAAAAGCCTTTGTTGTTGTTAATAGCTTACCCTCACGTTAAGGTAGAAAGCAGCATTTTAATCTCTGCTTCTAAATCTCATTTGCTGAAAGCATCACATATACATGAAGGGCTTCAATCTTCAGTACCAGTTTGGGGGTTTTTGCCTTTTTTTTTTTTTAATTTAAAATAAGTCAGCCTCTTATCTAGTACTTCCCAATGGCAGAATACCAACAATGTTTGCTTATGAAGTAGTTTCCCTAAATTCTCACACACCACCTTCAAGGCAGCACTGGCATTAAGCAAAGATAAAACAGCACTCAGACATTCTGGGCAACAAAATGCAAGATAAGCAACAGATTTATGCAAACCCTTCAACTCACTGTAAAGTACCACTGCTTCACTAAGCAGCAGCTCCCTCTTCCAACTGTGAAGTCAAGATCACACCTAGAAAAGCCTTACAAAAAGCTCCCACGTTCATGCCAGAGCTCCTCACCTGCGAGCTCTGATGCTGACCCAGGCTGCTGAAGAGTTCCCACTTTGCCCACTGGCCTGGCCTCAGCTTTAGCTCCCTTCTCCATTTGCATACCCACCTAGATGTATTTGTTTTATATATTCGATCAGAGCAACTTTGTTGTCTCTCCAGAACTTTTCCAGCTGGTCTTCTGGAGGATATTTACAGCATGACAGCTCCAATGTAATTTCAAAACATTGTCCCCAGACATAGTTGTAATCTTGCATTCCACCTTAAAAGTGAAATAAAACAGACAGTGTTCAGCTGGAAAGCACCACCAACTTCAAGCTAGAAGAAAAATAGGAGAGTTAAAATGTTGGTACTTGCATCACACCTGTAAAAAAAGTAAATCAGATAAATTATTCCCCAATGCCACGCTTGTATTTACTGCTTCCTGTGGAAAACCAACTTAATTACTCCAGTTACATGTAGAGCGTTGTTTTCTAAAGCACTGTAGCATTTTGGGCACGATGATTATTATGCCCAAGGAAGGGTGGTTCTTTGACTTAAATTCATTCCAGAACTGCCAACTAAATAGGGGCAGATAAATCCAGAGGCTGGCATGGAGTTTGCCACTGCCAAAGCCATCCTAAGGGCCTTTGAAGGCTTTGAATTCAGACTGTGAAAGCAACACGCAGTGCCACAGTACACAGGACCCACATTCTATTTGGCTACACATAAACAGTAATGAAAACATTTATTTCAGTAATCAAACATTAAAAAAGAAAAAGATGATATTATGAACAGAAGATTGGTTTTCTTTCTGAAAGGACAAGACCTCGGTGCCACACTGGTGCGTGCGTGTGTGTAATCTATACGGCTATGCAGGCCTTCAGAAAGGGCACAGAAGCAGCCAGACAGCAGCGATGGCCACATTCACTTGTGTAACTGCTGGTTGGGAGAGTCTGCAAACACCCATGTCCCGCTAATGCGTTGGCTTAGTCCCCTCATCAACATCCTACTCTGGGCAAAATCACAGCCCTTTCATCATCAAAGGTGGCAGGAGAAAGTAAGAACGTCGTATCTGAAGCAGCTGAAAACAAGTATCACTGACATTCTTACCTTCCAGCTGGTACCAAGCATACCCGTTGGTAATGCCTTCTGGAAAGGTTTGTCTGTTGTCACACCCAGTCCCCTTGTACATGCTGGCATGGTTGAAAGAGTAGGTTTTTGCCAGGTGAATAAAGACATCATCATCTGGAGACCTGCTATAGCCTTTCAAAGAGCCGGTAACTGCAGAACAAAGATAGCAAACAGAACAAAGATAGAACAAACTCTCGTTACTGGTAAAACATACAGTGCTGGCTTACGTACAAGATAAACATCTCCCAAATGGCCATATCAGGCAGTGAATTTTGATGAGTTTATCAAAGTCTGCCCATCCCAGCTCAAAAGCTGGAAAAACCTTGCAGAAATCCTTGTAAATTTTGCTTTGGTACAGCTAACGTTCCTAAACCAAATCAGCTGTGGAGAAAAGAGTTTGTTACTAGCTTACCTGAGTTACCATTATCAAAGGCGTAACTGGCAACCAGGGCACCCCCATGCAAGTTTGCCGAAAGAACAAATGTTTCATTTTTTATCCAGTTCATTACTGCTTGAGTCTCTGGCTGAATGCTTGCTTTGTTACTTTCAAAGGCGTCAGGAAAATTTCTGTTCAGATCTTCTCCATTCTTGTTGTACCTTAGAAAGAGAGAAGACATTCCCATTACTGTTTTGCCTATAGATGCTTCCACATCGCCAGCCTCCCAGTACTTAAGATCTGTGGCATGCTAGTGTCTTCAGGAAACAGGCAAGATGACCACTGCAAATCTTCCTAAGCATTAAGAAGATGGACTTTAGTTTGCTTTCTGGCAGCACTGGAATTTTCACAGGACACAATAAAACAATTCTTCTATTGTATTTCAGGTGGAAACGGAATAATATTTAACATCCATATAGCATGTACACACCTACACATACGTGAATTAGAAAAACCTAAGCCAGACAAGGAGGATATTGTTCTGTATGTGTTTTTCACACTTGTATGGAAGACCAAGGTAACTACTGGATGGCTGTGTCCCTTGTACTGCTGTCACTCTGGACATAGAACAAAAAAATTGACTCAAACACAGGATGTATTCTCTTCCCCCTGTATCTGAAGGTCCAGCCTGTGCAAATGCTTTCTTCCTTTTTCACTCAGACAGGTCAGTACAGAGAGTAGAGAGGGTATTTAGCATCAGCTGTGTTGATTTTTAAACTCAGTTAAACTCTATTTGACAGTGAGGTGATAAAAAATACCACCCACCGTAAAAGTCCTATCTATTTGCTGAGGAATACATTTCTTTCCTAATAAAAAGGAGGGCCTACACCGGTCACCTAGAGAACTAAACTACCTAAACTACCTTTTCACTTGCTTCCGACGTTGCCATGGCCAGTGATCCAAGATAACTTCTAGCTAGGGTTTGCTTTTTCTGCACATTCCAGCTTTGTCCCTTTGGCATTTCTTCCCATTCTCTCTCTCTCTCTCTCTCTCTTCTTCCCTCTTCTAGCTTGTTAAACTTTTCCTCCCCTTTCTGGTGTCTGCAATAGTTACATTAAAGAATGCAAAAGTAGCACAGGATGCAATAAGTTTCTTCTTCTGCATAAGTTTTTTTCCTAGCGCTACTATTAGCACAGCATAGCACTACTATTATAGCTAGCTCTGCTTGCATAACTCCTCCCTCTTACTAGATCAGCATTCAACGTGATCTTTAAACACATTTCTACAAGTCCATTCAACAAGCTTAGACACACCTTTTTCTCATGAAGAAGCATTACAGAGTTCTCCAACTGAAATAGATCCCTGTGGGTGGAGTCTTCCTTCTCTTTTTGTAGCACCCTAAAGGTCTAAATAGGTTGTTGCGCTTCTATTCACAATCTGGGTCTCCTGCCTAAAAGGTTAGGTCATTACACCATTCTGACCAATTCCCTCTAGCCGCACCACATATAAACACCAGTCTGACTGAGTCTTCCAAAAACTCTATGCTGTAACAGTGCACCTTCAGAACAGCACTGGCCAAAATTAGCCCTAACATATCATCTAGGCTATCCTCTCCACCAAGTATGATTCAGTCTCTTGGCTGTCTCTGATTATTATTCCCCACCCATTTCCTTTACCTACTCCCACCCTCCTAAGCCACCCTTACCGTCCTTGTGTGTAGTAACAATCAGGCACTTTTGTAGCTTCAAATCCATCAGGATTCATTGTTGGCATGATGTGAATCCGGGTATTATTGAGTAACCGGGTAATAACTGGGTCACGTCTATAGCTGGTCACCAGGAAGTCTATCAAATGGAGCAGAACTTCTCTCCCAACAGTCTGTATAAAGAAGCATAGATTTTAAGTCTGCTATGGAAGAAGAAGAAAAAAAGACCCACCACCTTGCACTTACAGGTTTTTCTTACTGGATTACACAGACATAAAAGGCATACAAGAGCATTCTGGTCAACACTGTTTTGTTTTATGCTCTCCACTAAATATATTTAAAGTAAGTAATTAGAGGAAAGGAGTCACTGGAGAGTTTTCACAAGGGTTTTAAACCCAGATCAACCAGAGCTTTTTCTGTAATTGAAAACTGACTCTGTTTGCTGCACTGCTTAAATCCTGCATGGATAAGGCCTAGCCTTATCAAAAACTGTAACTGCATAGGCTGCCCATTGAAGATCACGTGAGCTTGGAAGTGCACCACTGCATTATCCCAGCTGCACTGCAAGGTCAGCTCTGTGCTGATGCCCAAGGGACCTGGGGCCCTGCACATAAGCGTCAGTGCTCTGTGTCACCACGTGGCAGTGATGGTTCAGAGGAAAGGAGGGAGACACCTTCCATGCTTTCCAGGGTGCTACAGAGCAGGATTTTTTTCTTATTGATCCCCTTTTATGGGAAGTCAGCTTTAATACAGGATCAAGAGAGCCCCCATAGACACTTCTGTTATATTCTCTGTTACATTGCTTTATATTAATGCCATGAACACAGGCATTGGGGAAACAAAACAGGTATGTATAAATCCTTAGAAAAAGGATGGAAGGACATTTGGATGCAGATTTTGGATCACAGAAAGGCATTGGCAGAGAAAAAGCTAAATACATATTTTTGTTCATTTAAGCTTGTATAGGTCATGAAAGCTGGTAGGACATCTCTCTCTGGTCTACTCTATCAGATTTCAGGCAAAATAGTGGCAAGTTCCAGCTCCAGTAAGGTAAGAACAATCCTATTCTACCCCAAAAACCACTAGTAGAGTGTTCACCAGACCATACTTTCCAGGACCACTTCCTATAGCACTATGACCCATGCCTCAAGGGCACTGTAGGGTTCCTAAGCCCTGGCTGGGATGGGAACAAATCAAGACTTGCAACTAGATGTGCTCTAGAGATAATTTATCTCTACTTTATCTCCAAGAACAAAGCCTGGTAAATCACTGCAGTCTCCAGTTCAGAGCTACAGCATCTCAGTATCTTTTAGGATGAGTCTTGCATCACTAAAGTGGAAATACTGCAAATAATTTTTTTTTTTTTTCTAAGCAAGGAACATGGAGTGGCATTACTGGATGAACCTGGTGTCACAGATAAACACCTCCTTGCTTTCAGACTGGTACAGGCTAAGGTAAAAGGTAGGTGAAAACAGGCAGGGGAAAAGGGATATTTCTCCACAGCTATTTGCTGCCCTAATATCTTTTTAAATTTTCACATTGGTGCATTTTAAGTGGCAAATCCTGCTCTGGATGTTGAGATAAACAGGAACACAGGCATCGTCCAGCAGGAGCTCTGCCTGCAGGAGCTGGGTTGGGCACACAATGGGGCAAGGAGGGCTGGCTGTTCAGGTTGGGAGCAAACCATATCTTGCCAGTTAGCCAGCAATTGCTGTTTATCACAGGAGAAACAAATAAACAAACAATGTAGTGCCTAACATGACTCCGCTAAGTTGCAGATCACACCATTTTAGGTGTCATACTTGAAAGCAGCCATGGTCTCCAAGTTGGTACTTGAGCAATTCTGCCATGCCGTTTGTACAGGGAAAAAGAAGGATCTCTTCCCACCCTGCCCCCCAGCAGATTTGTTCCCAAGTTTTCTAACCCTTGCCTGTCAGCTCCCAATGGCCTCCTGCAAGCCACCATCCAGTAATCCGCTAGAGGAACCTGCGTTACACAAACGCATTCACCATCCCAGTAACAAAGTGGTTCTTTTTCTAGACACTACAGCAAATGGCCTTTGACAAGGGGGGAAAAGGTACCTAACTTCCTCCATTGCCAACAGCTTTCAAAACAGCACCTGAGTACATGAAAGCAGACTGCTTCATGAAATTTAAGAAGGGATGTAACAGAACCTGTCTTGTACAGGCAGCTCAGTTTCAGCTCTGGGTGATAGACATCTTGGGAAGCATATGGAGCGGGGGGGAAAAGAAAGGAGGGTAGAGAAGTCAGCCAAATCATGGCCCTGGGCATGAGAGATAAAGCCAGCAGACTCAGAAGCAACAGGAACAGCTCTACCACAGGCATAGCTAAACTGCAGACAAGACTGGACTGCTCTCTGGAGGAACTGGGAAAGTGCCTCTGCTCTTACTACACTTCTCTTCAGTGCCTGACAAAAAGACACCCAGAAAAGAAAGGGTAGAGAAGCAGGAACAGGAAGGGGAAAAAAGATAAAGAAAAGCAACAAAAGGTGGTGGAAAATGATAACGTTTATAAAGAACAGCAGATGACCAGTTTTTCATAGATGACAGTCTTTGCACTTAAGAGTTAAACCCAGACTTATGTACATATACAGTGTTTTAAAAACTAACCCTATTTTATAGGATTCCTTGTGTAGCTATTGCTGTACCTGAGTACGTAGTACATTAAACAATTCAGCTCATCTTCATCACAGAGGCTTGGTACTTCGATCATTCCCCGGTCGGGGAAGAGTGTATTTATTACCACTCGGGTTTGGTGGAGTGACAGAGGGGTGGTTTTATTTTGGTCCAGAGTACCCTGCATTTCTTGAGAAAGCACATCTAGAGGTGTTTGAGGGGAGAGAAAGGGTAAGTTTTGGTTTCTGGGAAAGTATACCTCCAGTTTTGATCAAGCCCTTGGAAGGCATCTCCTGCCCAGCCAAGCTTTATCCTGTTACTAGAGAGGTCAGCTGGAGAAAAGTTGAGACCTTTATTTTTACTTTAGAGTTTCAAATAAAGGATCTAGACACAGTGGAGGTAGGTTGCTGACAGTAAAGTCAAGGGCAGACACCTTAACCTGCCTCTAGTCTAATACAAAGACGTAGAGAGCAAGGGACAGCCTTTATGTGCTCTGGGGTTTTGAGAAGACATGATGAATATTTGGTTTTAATTGCAGTATCCCAAGGGTGATGCCCAGGTGCATTGTTTTGCTGTAGCTCAGATGAGGGGTGACACAAAAGCAAAGGAAAACCCTTTCTCCCACCTCCAGGGACACAGTTAAACATTACATTTCTCTGTGCACTTTCAGCTGTCAGTTTCCTTGCATGCCCCAAAGGGCGAGAGCTAGCAGGGAAGGCTTTCAGCAATCCTCAGGAGAAGTCCTGAATGAAGAAGCATGCACATGTCAGGGTGTCCTGGTTTTGGCTGGGATAGAGTTAATTTTCTTCCTACTAGCAGGCATAGTGCTGCGTTTTGGATTTAGTAGGAGAAGAATGCTGATAACACGCTGATGTTTTTAGTTGTTGCTAAGTAGTGCTTACACTAGTCAAGGACTTTTCAGCTTCCCATGCTCTGCCAGGTGCACAAGAAACTGGGAGGGGGCACAGCCAGAATAGTTGATCCAAACTGCCCAAAGGGCTATTCCATACCATATGACATCATGCTCAGTATAG